CGCGTCCCGCCGCCGGCCCCTGTCCCAGTCCCCGGGCTGCGGGGCCCTTCCCCTGCCGGCGTCCCGGGGCGGCATCCTGGCCGTGGCAGCCGGCCCGAGCGATCCTGCCTTCCGCCCGCCTCTCCTCTGACTGCTCGGCGAAGTGAGCCAGGTTCCTCCAGCCACACTCGCGAGCCGCGCGCCCTCCTCCTCTGCCCCCACATCCCGTCACGTTCCTGCAGTCTCCTGATCCATCCCAAAGTTCAGATTGTCATCCACCTCCTTGACTAGCGGGTGGCCCCCTGGCTTCTCTCTGTGGAACAGTGTCTCTCATTTGACCTGAAATGGAAGTAGGGCAACGGTGATGAGCCAATCAGTTTCCCTTTTCTTAGTGCCCACTGTCCAGTGCAGACACCAGACTTGGAAGGAGTTTGCCTGCACTAGCAATCCTTGAGGGAGAAGAACTTTATCGGTGCAACTAGTTTAATGACCGGAGGTGACAGAGCTGTGTGAATGGTCTGTGCAGGTGTGGACAGCTGACGCTTGTGGATTTGAGGAAACCCTAGAACCTGCTCACTTTTTTAGGTTCTGTGAGGATCCCGATGCTAGGGACTGGTTTGGACATTTTTGTGTGTGAGCTGATGAATAAACAGTGTTAATGATCACTGGGAAGCAGTCCTACACTCACCAAAAAGGAAATAAAGGATTTGAGATGACCGAGTGGCTTTTACCCTGTTAAAAGCGATGACACAGTGGGACAAACTGGACTTTCCAAGTCTTTGGAACTTGTCTAGCTAAGAAGCTAAGTACTTCATCGGTGTCCAGGAGCTGGCATATATGATGCTCCTGGGGAGTCCCTACTGGTTGATTGTTAACTGATGAACCATACATTTCTAGGAGATGGAAGTTCACCTTATGTTTCCCAGTTCTACATTTTTTAAAAAAAAATTTCTGGTTACTTTATTGTCACAGAACATCATTATATCATAAGTTGTCATTAGTTATATATTTAAAAAGCAAATAGCAATTCAGTTTCTTTTATTCTGATATTTCGGTAAGAAGTTGTCTTATATTATTTTAATAACTTTTCGCTGTTGTCTATAATGTATAGTATGAAATGTCCACTTGATAAAACTTTTTAGAGTTTTGATCTGTTCACAACGAAAGTACTCTGCTTATACATACAAGCATAACTGTCTTGATTTCGATAGACTGAACATTCATTCTAAACATATGTATTTTTATATGAGTTAATGTTTCAGTAAAGTATTTTAAACAGGTCAGAGATGGTAGTAAGCTGTCCTTTGTTGCAGTGCGTTTGCGTGCGTGCGTGCGTGCGTGCGTGCGTGCGTGCATGTGTGTGTGTGGTGTGTGTGTGTGTGTATGTGTGTGTGTGAGTGTGTGTACACGTGTGTGTGTTCCACTGTTGGCAGTTCCTGCAGTTATCAAGCCTGACTTTGAGCTGCCTCTCTAAAGTAAAACTCAGATTAAATTGTACTTTGATCTCATCTGTGATTTTCAGTAGACATTTTATAGATAAGCTGACTGAAGCCCAGAGACTTGTCCAAGGTCAACAGTTGTTAGTGAAAGAGTTGACACTAAAAATCTGGTTTCCTGACTCAGTTCAGAACCCACCACTTTCCTCAGCTGCCTTTCAGTGAGTAGTTTTCAGCTTTCTTGACCAATTTTAAAACCTCTTACTTCCTTGTCTGGATGTTGTCAGCAGTTGAAGAGAAGAGAATTCATTACTTGAGACTTTTTGCTGAACTTAGCTTTTTTGTTATTTTTTTTTTTTAAGCCTGGTAAACAGTCCCATTTTGAAACATTAAAAATACAAATGACTTTGTGTATGTGTCTGCAAGTGGTGAGTTACTCCAGCCAGCAGGTCTTGGGATTTAGGGGAGGTGTCTTAGTTAATATTAGATCTCAATATAATCTACAGTACTGCACTGCATCATGAGAGGTTCTTCTAACCCTCTTACTAGTCAGGTGCAGTAGGCGGTCTCCCTGGTCAGCAGGCGGAGTTAAGGTAGGTGATACTGTCATCATTAGCATCCTGACAAAACAGGTTGAGGAGGTGAGAATAACTTGATTAAAAACCAGAGAATAAGAGTCACACTTAATCCTCTCATTCAGAATTCTGTGCTGTGTCTCCCCAGTGTAGAATCCCTCTTTTCCCTCTCCTTCCTCCCTGCTCCCTTCTCCTTCTCCCCTCCATTCCTGTCCCCCCAGTCCCCCCATCCCCCACCCCCCACCCCGTTTCCATTTCTCATATTGTTACTATGTTGGTCTTAATTAAAAACAAACAACCAAATGGGCATACATAGATAAATGATCATAATATCAATAATAAGCAATCATATGAAACTATTCAGTTTTACATTTGTCAAATTATATATTTAACTGAAACTTCAGAAAAGAGATAATGCGGGAGTTATTCATTAAGAGCTACTTTAAATAAGGCAAAAGAGAAAATTACTCAAATAAGCAAACTAATATGTACATTGAACTTTGAAACCTGTGAAAGATATTAGTGTGAATTGGAAGTATAGGCCTAGTTAGGCAGTTCTTATTTTTAACTTTTGGCTTCATTTTTTGCTTTAAAATTTTTTGAATGCAGTTGAATTATTTGAAAGATTTGTTTTGTATTTGTGTGTCTTCATGTTTTCTATCAGGGATGATGAAGCTACTTTTTAATGTCCAGTTAAGATTTCTTCCTCTCTTTTGGTCCCTGTTAAGACCTGAGTTGTCATAACTACTCCCAGAGTTCCAGCCTAGTACAGCTTCTCAAATAAAGAAAACTTGAAAAGGTTACTAATGAAATTCAGTGATATCTAACAATATTTTAATACTGGGAAACTTCACACTAATTTTCATCAATGTTTCTCCTATAACATTTGAAAAAACTTATCATGATATGTTTGAAAATTATTTGCGTAATATTTTCTGGCCTTTTGCTTATTAATAGTTAACTTTACATCTCAAAATAGGGACTTTTTTAACGTCAGAGTTTGTTTTAATTACTGTGAATTTTCTCAGTATTAAATCTTGTTAGATATCACTGAATTACATTAGTAAACTTTTCAGGTTTTCTGTATTTGAGAAGCTGTACTAGGCTGTGACTCTGGAGTAGTTACGACCGCTCAGGAAAGGTGTAGGTGATGGGGAATGTGTGCCCAGTTGACTCTGGGAATAACGGCATGAGGCGGTTTGTCGGTCGGTGTCGGTCAGTTGCCATTCTGTGAGTGCACAGATGATGAGCAGGCGAGGTGGTTCAGACCTGCAGCTCCAGCACCTGAGACCTGGAGACTTGAGGGCAAGACCAGTGAGTGGTTCTGACGCCAGTCTGGGCCGCATGAGGCCAGCCTCAAACACGACACCACAACTCCCAGAGAGGGAGAGACAGAAAGGGCCGCACGTGTGGATATGGGACACTAAGTGAATTTTAAATCAAGGAGTGTTTCACTTCAAGGTTAACAGATACGAAATAGGTGGAAAAGGCCTCAATGGTAGGACTTTTAGAAGTCCCAGCTTGTTAAAGAATGAAAAGGCTTTGTGGTTCAGATAAATTAGGAGGCTACTTGTTCAAAGAAAATGAAATCAGTTTCCTCTCTGGAGGGCTGCTTATTGCTTTCCATGGGTGATTGACTCAGGAAGAAAGTGATGCAGTTATAGCCTATGGCAAAGTTATGTGACCATGGAGACTTCCAGAAATGCTCGTGTTACATGTGCTGAAGCTGTGAGACTGAGTGGATGGTTGCACATCAAGGAAGGGCCTGAGCTGCTAGAGACTTTAAGTACATGACTGTACACATATACTTGCCTGTAAGTACTACGTAAAATATGGCTGGATTTTATTGATTAGTGTATTTATGGTGGAAATACTCTTGGGATCGATTAATCCTAAAACTATATGAGCTGCTTCTTTAATTATTAATTAATGACATTGTAAAGGCTGCTAACCAGAACAAGAACTCGGGAGGCTTATTGGTATTCAAGGCATGTGAAGAGGTGTGAAAAGGACTTTACAGAAGGCGTGGAGACTTTCACTGGAATGACCCTGCTTTGCTGGTGTACACTTTCCTTGTTTGGCTGTTTAGAAGAGCTAAGCTGAATATTACTTTGTTTTGTTTTGTAGAGATAGGGTCTCACTGTACAGACTACATAGCCCTGTCTGACCTGGAACTCACTATGTAGACCAGGCTGGCCTTGAACTCAGAAATCTGTCTGCCTGCCTCTGCCTCTGGAGAGCGTAATGGTCACTCTTCCTGTGAGTTTATTTTGTGGTCTCTATGTGAGATTTTGAAGCACTTCTTTCCT